AATGTAAGTCACTTTTTTAAATGGGCCATAGACCTAAGTGACTTAGGTATCTCACTTTGAATATGTTCCCTCTTCCTGTCTATAAGTAAACCAGTTGACATGGTATCACTGTACAAATGATGCTGATAATTCTATCCCTAGGTATTTGTAATATGCCTACCCAGATGACAGCATGTCTTAGTCTCCAAAAATAAAAATGTCACTCTTGGCCCAAAAGAATGTTTCATTTCATTCCAGAAGTAAAATAACAAATTGCCTTTAATGGTAGCATCACCAGAAATAGGCCTTGGTTGCTTTTTCATGTCACATTCAAGTGCCTTGTTGATATTTTTATGGATTTTTATTATATAGCTTGTTATGCAGCTAGAAAAAACACATCATGTTCTTGAAGTTTGGCAGGCAGGGGGCTGAGCTATAATAAGAATTGTTACACTCATGGTTTTAATATCTTTTACTTCAAAGCAAGGACTTGATTTGATCTTTCATCATCTCAGCTGTTGTTTACCAGCTTCCTACAGATGCTGTTTGAACTAACAAACCCCACATTTCCTGGTTTGAGTGAGTAATTCCCTTGGTAGTTGCAATCCGTTCACTAGAAGGCTTAGTCGTCCTGATTGAATGATGCCACTAACAAGAAGGGGATAAACTATTTAAACGTGCAGTATCACCTTTCAATCAAATAATAACCAGACAAATTAGCTTGGCTTAGCTCCTCAGCCCTACTTCCCATTTACTGCTTTGAAAGGAAACAGCTAGCAAGAACAGGGCTGGCTCGGGGGGTCAATTTGCTCAGAGCATCAGAAGCCGACAGACGTGTCTCTGATACAAGGTCTTCTCTTTTGGCACTGATAGGTGAATAGCATTTTGCTTCTTGCAGAGCCTTTTAAATCAGCTGAAATTTAAAAATTGCTGATGAGGAAAGAGGTGCTAGGTCACAGACCAAAGAGCACAGACCAAAATAAGTTCTTATTCTACACCAAACACTGCTGTGTTCCACATACTTTAAAATGAAGTAACTGGCATCAGTTGCATGTGATTTGTTCTTTCCTTCTCAGCCTCTCTTCCCTCTCCCCGAGCCCAATGGCAGAAGAGAGGGAGAATGGGTGTAGATATAACTATACGTAGATATTGTATGTATAGATTTTACGGAAAAGTTGAAAGGCTACAACAGAGATTGACGTCTTGTTGTGCTGGGTGCCTTATATATAGGCTGAGCATAAGGAAATCTGGGACATGTGGGACACTGCCCCCTACCCCGCACTGCTCCAACTCCTGGCCAGATTGTGCCCTGTTTCTGGGATGTCCATTATAATTCTCAACAGCCATCCCGGACTCTTAAATCCGAAACTGTCCTGGCTAAACCAGGACATACGGTCACCCTACACTTATATGTGCAGCAAGAGAGAGTCCCTGTCCCAAGGAGTTAAGTCAAAGTCCAAAAGCCAAGATAAGACAAAGTCAAAAACAGACAAAGGTTGAGAAGGGAAACAAATGCTGGAAGTGATTTGCTTAAAGTCGCACAATAAATCAGTTGCAGTGCTGGGAATAAAATTAAACTCTCCAGAGTCCCAGTTGATTTCTCTTCCACTGAACTACACTGGGTCTTTCTCTTACATACTTTTGATGGGGAAGAACTGCACTTTGAACTTGGCATAGAATTTGGTGGGGTTAGTGGCTGGTCTTGTATTCTGCAGGACATAATTGCATAGTCTCAGGTTGGCTTCCTCAAAAGCTCACCTTTCTCTGGATCATTCCACTGGGTCAGAGAAATAGAGCAGCTGACTGTAGCCATATCATAGAACTTTAGGTAAACCCAAGTCCACAACATAAGCAGCCTTGAAGATAAGGACCACAAATATGTTATTTCTCTACTAAGTTTTTCTCCCACACCCCACCCAACAGTCACGTTTTACAGCAAAATGCTAAGCCACCGTGTTAGAATCTACTTAGCTTTCACTATTTTCTAATAAAACACCATTTTAGGGGGAAAAAAGGGTGATTTTGATAAGAAGCAGGTGTGAGGAAAATGTCGGAGTGTCTTTTTCATAGAAGTCCAAGAATAATTTCTCCACTGTTCAGAACTACTTGGATAGTTAGTCTACCTCAGAGGCATTGAACTTTTATCAGTCAAAGAGCCACTTCGTCATTGAATGGAATCTGAGTCATGCTGGCACTAAACCCAATGCAGAATTTGTAAAGTAAGGGCCAGATTCTCATTTATGCTAAAGCCTTTCCAATGGCACAAGACCTGGAGACCTTATATTATTTCAGTTGTTTCAGAAAATCTCTTCACCCAAAGCACTTGGGGGTTAAATTAATTCGGCAATGAGTTAAACAGCAGCAGAGGGGGAAAAACTGAAAGGCACAGATGAGGGAGAAAAGATGATTTCCACTTTAAATTTTTGTTTTAAAAATGAAGAGAGTACAGACAGAAGAGAGATGCAGGGAAGCTGCACGTCATGGTCTGAGGGGTAGGGGGAAGCTATTATACCCCAGTGGTATGAAGAGAGGCAGAGGAGACCAGTGCTACAAAACTGTTTAGGAGGTTTATTACATGTGGAACATCACACACATTTAGTACAAGTTATATTAAAAGCTACAGCTTTTAGTTACCTGGAGCTGGTTATCAGACCCACAGATTGCTGATATGTGACAGCATCTGTCTATTAGTAGTAGTACGTGGTGTTTCTACTACAGTAGTGCCAAGGAGCCATGGCTGTAGACTAGGATCCCACAGTAGGAGGCAATTTGCAGGCACAGAACATAAAAAATCCTGTCTTTGTCTCCTGTGACCTAGAGTTCAACAGGCCAAAGTTAAGACTGAATTGTAGAGCTTCCTGTTTCACTAGAACTGAAAAGCTTTCTTCCGTGGTGTTCCTTGTCTCATCTTCTGAATCCCCCTTTTTTATATTACCACTTTGTCTCATGGCAAGATAGGTTAAAGTTTTTCTTGTATCATTGTTAAATTTGCCTTGAATTTCCCCATACTCTTAATTTTGAGGAAGAGGAAAGTTAAACAGAACCTAACTGTCTGTTTCTGTTATTGATAAAAAGTTACACGTGTTGCTCCTCCTAGCCAACAGGGCCCAGATTTAAAAAAGTTAAATGGACACATGCCTTGTGGAATTTATAAAAGGCTCTAAACTGGTCAGACCCTTAAGTCCATGACATCTAAGCATCCATCCAGTCAGGTTATGCATGCAAGTGACTGCAGTGTAGTGTAGCGTAGACAGACATGAGCTAGTAAGCATGGATAGCAGAAGAAATGTAGTCATTTATCACAGTTCTTAGTGGGGCAGATTAGCCTGGGCTGAACTCCATGTTGCCCCTGCACCTTTTCCATTGGAACTCAGCATCTAAAATAACTGGGGAGTCTTTTGAAAATTCACCCTTTGCCTTTTATTAATTTCTCTACCTATAAAAATTCTCATCAAGTGTCTGATCATTTTGTTGGGCTCTTCTAAGTCTAGGTTGAGTACCATTGTTTTAGACAACTGAGAATATTGTAACAAGATGTCTTTCAAGTGCACATTTTCCCAATTTTTAATAGAATATCTAAATCCATGCTAGGCAGGACTTGAGGGCCAGGACTTCTTTGCACAGAAGGAACAGCACTAAATCAGGTTTTTAAGCCACCCACAGTTTCTGGCCTAGGTAGGCTGATCATGCTTCTTACACACTGAGAAGCCTCTGAATCTCACAAACAGGAGTTTTACATTTGATAGTTTAGAACAGTGGTTCTCAACCTTTGGTATCTTACGTAGCCCTTGCCGATTGATGTGGTAAAAGCGAAACCGGAAGCCCCACTGTGGCACTTCCGGTTTTGCTGCCACGAGCTGAGTCCCACTTTTTCCACCGCAGCCCAGGGCAAAACAGCCTGCGCAGGGCCTCCCTCCCCATCCCCTGGCACACTGACGCTGGGGAGTGAAAGCCCTGGCACTCTGGACATGATGGGAGGGGCGTCAGCCAGAACTTCCAGCCCAAGCAGGCAAAGACCAGAATTCAGCACCCGCATATCCCCTGCCTGTGTCTCACTTACCCCCGGAGTACCACGGGTTGAGAAACACTGGTTTAGAATGACACCGTCAATTTATTTCCACGTTTTACATGATTGCCCTATCTCAATGTGATTAGTGAGAAAGGAAGTGACTTGCAAGTTTGGAAACCAGTAAATGCAGACCTGGCTTTGCAGAGCAGGACTTATTTTGTACTTTTCAAGAAGTTTTCAGACCAATTCATCTGACAAGTCAACTGTTCCACTGAGCCTTATTTAAGGAAAGTAAATAAAATGTATCCCGGATGTGTCCTTACCTGGGATATAGTCAACCTTTGGATGATGTAAGAGGGAATTTGCCTTTGCTTAAGGTTCTATTATGTCCCATATTATTTGGACCTTCTTAAATCGAAGCGGTGAGACTTGACAGTGAGATAGAGAGAACTGTGAATTTTATTGATGGTGTCTGTGCTGCAAAGGGATAAAAAAGATGCCTCCCTTTACATGTCGGTAAGTTCAATATAAAACCTGAGGGGTGTTCTCTTGAGACACTTACTGTGTTCTTCCAAAGCCTGGGTTAAGAATTGGGAGGAAACATTGACAGGCCATCAAATTTGGAAGGTATATCTTGAAAAAGGGTTCTGTAAGATGCCTACATGGTTGCTTGCGGATAGAAAAGTCTTGCATTCTGTAAACTTGGTTTCCCTTTAGATGAAGTTTGTCATGCATGCAGAAGCAAGGGTTGGCTTCAGTTTGTTAGTGCCCATTTGTATAACTTAACTGGCTTGCCTGGATTGGAACTGGAACTCAGTGCTGATTCAAGAGGCAAGAAAATTAATTGTTAGTTAAGCTGGTTTTCTAAGCTACTTACATTCACTCCTGGTGCTTTCCTTTTTCCCAGATGGTCTGGTTTCTGTAGCAAAAGGGAAGAAAATGTTACATTTTCTTTAACTCGGGTCTGCCTGAAATCTGTTAATTTTGGACTCTTTAAAATCTCTTTAATTTGGAGACACCAACAATCACACAGTAAATTTAAATCAGTTTCTCTGCAAGCTTGCTTTCCCGCTTATCTGTAAGATGGGGAAGATCATCCCTGCCTTACAGGCATGTAAATTTTAATGGTTTTGTCCCTAATTCAGCAAAAACTTTTAAGTATATTCTGTTGGAATCCATAGGACTCTAGGCCTGTGTTTAAGTGCTTTGCTGTACTGGGTCTATAATAGTTGTAAAACTTTTTGAGATCATTTGAAAAGAAGCTCTTTTTTGAGATCATTTGAAAAGAAATGCAAGATGTTCTTATTTTTACACTTATTCTTGCTTGAAAGCAAGACATGGAGATACTGAAAGAACAGTCTCACGTGGCAGCAAGGGAATTTTAAGCCAGATATTAGGAAGAATTTTCTCACTAGGAGGGCAGCAAAACACTGGAACGGGTTACCCAGAGAGATGGTGGAAGCTCCATCCTTGGAGGTTTTCAAGACCCAGCTAGACAAAGCTTTGGCTGGGATGATCTAGTTGGGGCTGGTCCTGCTCTGTGCAGGGGGTTGGACTAGATGACCTTCTGAGGTCTCTTCCAGCCTTCATTTTCTATATGATTCTGTGAAGATGGAAACATTTTAAAATTCAGCCCTGAATGTTAATTTTGCAAATTAAACTTTTTTTTTAATGCAAACTCCATATCTGAATATTCATCAAACTTTTTGGCATCTAAAATCCAGATGTGGGCATTACAATCTGGGCATATTTCTTTCATAATCTTAGTACATTATCAGTTACATAGCATTGGCGTAACTATTATAGGCATTTGAGGAAACTTAAAATTAGCTGCATGGAAGCATTCTTGAGTAGAAATAGGGGAGTTTTTTCCAGTAAGTGATTAAGGTTTTGTTTATCTCCAAACTGTTTATCAATTTGACTAATAGTTTCAGATGGGAACAAAAAAACAGGAGAATGAGCAAACCCCCACCATTTTTAACCCATAGTTCAGGGATTAGAGCACTGACAAGGACGGAAGAGAGCCAGGTTCTATTCTCTCCTCTGCCAGAGAGGTTGAATCTGTATCTCCCATCACGAACACAATTGACCTAATCACTGCACTATAGAGGTGCTCTTAATCACTCCTGTTTGATCCTCTTCCACTCTGTATAAGTAGATGTTCAATATAACAAGGACTGGTACCTCAGTGTCCTGTCTCCCATTTGAGTGTCCTAACCCTGAAAGTAGAGACTTTTTTAGTTTTCTGTCATTTGTTTTGGTGGGTACATAAGTACAAATTGAATAGTACCAACAGAAAAACAAAAGAAGCACTGCCTCACAACGCCTCTTAGTGGTGGTCAGGAAAATCTTCTGGGAAGCATAGGTTCAAATCCTCTCAGGTCAGTGATGTAGCATCTGAATCCTTGTGTAAAAGCGGGACCTGTAGCTGCAATCGCTGCTCCTTTGGTGAGCTTACCCTTACCTTTTCTTACAAGTGCTTAGTACGTTTTGTGCTGAAAGCTAACAAGATGGGAGTTTTTTTCCCCTGGCCTTTTATTTTGGCAAGGAAAAGCTGGGGGAAACCTAAGTTTTGTCTACTAGATGTTTAAAAAAATGTACAGGGTTCATAATCATTAATCAAAACCTTAATGACTTGAGCATAAGTTGATGCCGGGGGAGTTTGTTTTTGCTTTTTTTCCAGAACACAAGGAACATTTAGGATCCCAAATCCTGTTATAAGTGTGCAAGAGATAGGTGACTCCTTAAACCTCCTGCTGAGTTGATTTTTCCTCTCTGATTCACAGCACTGTGCTGCCAAATACAGAGAAAGGGAACTGAAGGCAAAGACTATTTAATAGATGCGTACAGAGACAGCATGATGGATTTAAATGAATGGGAGGAGGTGGCTGAAGGAAGAAGCCTTGATGACTGGAGCATCTTGTTTATATCACCTCTGAGAGTCAATTACATGCGTATCGCACAGCACAAAGCCCAGTTGTCTAGACAATCGTCTAATTGCCTTTCCTTGGTAAGCAGCGGCCCTGATGACATTCCAGACCTTGACCTCTGCCCTGTCCAACTTCAAAACAAGTGCCATTAGGAATCACATAACACTGTGCATTAAAGATGGTAGGAAAAGGTCATAGGATCAGCCTACAGCAAGAGTTTCAGCAACAGTTCTGAATATAGAGCATTCACCCTCTGAGACTGATCTATTGTAAGAGAGCATTAGTACAACTCCATTGCTTATAATGGGGCTGCATGGGAACCAACTGAGGTTCGTCTGCTAGGGGTTGGGGGGGAAGGTATGCGGAACAGAGTTGCTCAGACCTACCAACTTTTGCTTCGTAAAGGGCTTGGGCAATCCCTAACTAGGAAAAAGGCTGTAAAGCTATTCCAGGGTAGATTTGCAATGTCAATTAACAAGGTTACAAAGGAAGTAATTAGGTGGAGGGGTGGATCTACAGGTACTACAGCAAAGCAGATAAATAATTTAGCGAAAACAATTAGGGAAAACTTTCCAAGTGTGTGACTTAAGAAACTAAGGTTCTGGGGTTTGGGGGGAGGGGGAGGAGCAATTTAATTAGAGTGACTTTGGGGAGCCACTCTAGTTAAAGCACCTGTAGTGTCTCAGGTATTTAGTGTGCTGATGCTTCAAATTGGCGGTGGGGGCTCTTTAACTAAATCTCATTAGACTAACTTTAAAGTGCCTCTGCCACCATTTTGAAGCACAGTGACGCTGAATACACGTGACACTGAGACTGGTGGAGTGTTCTAATTAATTGAGTCTTCTCTAACTAGAACACATCTGAGCAGGCATCAGGCATGTGTATTGGTGCCCTTAAGGCTTCAAGCACTGGAGCATTTCCAAAAATGTTACCCATCTGAGAGAGAAAAGGACTGGGGAGTTTCTGAGAATATAGGGATGTGTTCTCAGTGGGTGTAAACAAAAATTCTTGCCTATTAATTTCCATAGGCAGATGCAGTTCTTGTCTCGGACCCCAGAAGACAGGTTTCTGCCTGTAGAATCCTCACAATTCCATTTGCCAAGGACTTGATTTTTTTGAGTTTCCGCAACTGCTATTGATTGACTCCATTTGGAATCAGGGAATGCTCAGTAGCTCTGCACATACAAAATGAAATCACAGTTCAGAAAGATAAGTACATCATGAAAGATCTCTAATGAACTGTGCTGCTAATTACATGCATAAAGGTCAGGGTATTTTCAGCATTCCTCCAGATTCAGAGACTAAAACAGTTGAGTGAAAAAAATCCATTTTAATAGCAAACCTTATTGAGTAAGTGTTTGTCTGAGAAGTACTAGAACTAATACCTATGGTGTTTAGGGTTTCCTGAGGAAGGCAGCAGATGAAGAACAGGTCTCTTGAAATTCTGGGCCCATACCTCAGTTGGTATTATCTGGAGTAGGTCTTTTGAAACCAATGGAGTGATGCCAATTTACACAAGTGAGTACTGTATCTGGTGTTCTATTTCCAGGCATGCTAAAGGTGTTAGTGTGCAAATGACTACAAAAATTATTGCCTGAAGGTTTTATGCTCAAAGACAGATCAGGTATCTGGTCCAGAGAGGGTACATCCCTGGCTGTTAGAAGAAATAAAAGGAGGAAAAAATGGTGAAGTGTTAACTGATATTTTTAGAAGTTTTATAATGACAGGTCACATTCCCAAGGACTATAAAGTGGCAAATCTAACACCCATTATTCAAAAGGGGCAAAAGATATAGCAAGCAATTACAATTTAACACCAGTTGTGGGAAAAATATTAGAAACCATTTTATGAGATTTGGGGAATGAACAGCTTGGAAAGTGTAATTTGATTAGAGATGGCCAACATGGGTTTTTGAAGGAGGTTTTAAGTAACCTGGAATTCTTCAACAGTATTGCTGCCATGGGAGGCAGTGGATGTGGATTGGATGGCTTGTAATCAAGGCAGACTTTCCAAGCAGTGGATTGGGATGCAACTGCATGGCTTCTGTTAGCTTCACTATGCTGTGCTGCTGAAACACTTTTTAAATACATTTAGACAAGGGACAGTACTGAGTCCCCTAACAAGTCATGGGGAGGAAACCTAGGCATGGTGACATGGTTTAAGTGTGCACTGAGTTTAGCTCCTAATCCTTTTGTGGAGACGGGGGAGGGATCAAAAACAAAAGGCAACCAAGCCAACCAAAAAAAGGAAGGGCAGTGACCATGGTTTAAAGCAGGGGTGCTTCACCTGCAGCCACCAGGCCAGATCTGGCTCCCAGCACCATGTCATCCAGCCAGGGCAGGTGAGCAAGGCCCAATCCAAACATGCAGAGCTGGGCAAGGGTAGCACAGGGCCCCAAAGCCTGATCCTGGCACCCAAGACCCTGTAACAGAATGGGTGCTGAGGCAGCTGTGGTACTTCTTAGTGGTTGAGCTAATCCTGCCGTCCTTCAGTTGCTCCATGAACCCTTGTCACAGTCTCACCTGCCCCACCTTCAAGAGCATGGGGACACGGTAAGAGCTTTCCCAGAGTTCTGGAGTGATCTTACCAGTGCTACCCAAACCCTACTTAAAATGTTAGTGGGTCCTCACTAAAGACCTATCCTGGGCCCCGCCAGCACTTGTCAGGCACCACTTGTGTCCCCACAGGCCCAACCTACGACTCCAAATATTAATCATGCTTTAGAGGTAGTATTCATGACCTCTAGCTACCCTCATAGCCATCGCTATGCCTCACACCTGTCACTAAGATGCCATTTTGTGAACTTCCTGATCCCATCCATATGTTCTGCCCTTCTAGTTCTAATCTGTTTGTCCAAGCTTCAGCCTTTACAGCCTTGGTCCCTTTTCTCTCACTGAGGCCCTCAGCCCTGGCCACTGTTTCAGGCTCATCTCCACTGCATCCCTGTCCAGTAGCAGGGATCAAAACAGAGCACAGCCATGGCACCCAGGCATCCTGCTGCATGGCCTCCTTTCTGCCCCTACAGCCAGAACCAAAACCACTGGTTTTAACCATAAACTGACACACAAGCAAACTGCTTCCCTCTAAACTCAAACCCTACTTTGGGTCACTATCCCACAGTCCTTTATACTCACCCCCAGGCTATCTCCTTCTAGCTGTCTATTGTACTGTGGGTACCTGTAGGTCTGTCTCCTGCAGGCTCATTTGCCTCTCAGAAGCTCCTCTCTGTGCAGACATCAGGGCCAGACTGCTTGCTTCAGCTTAGGAGCTGAGCATATAATCCTCTAGGCACTACCCTACCAGTTGCATGGTTTCTCTACCATACACAGGGGTGTCCTTTTAGCTTGATAATCTTCTGCTCCTACTACACTGCTGTTACTACTGTACCTTTCTAGAGCCCTTCCCTTATTTTCCTTATTATGCAGGTAGACCCCAGGAAGGAGCTGCAGCACTGTAGCCCCTTATCTTGGACTCTCCCCTTCTCTGCCCCCCCCCCCATGCTTATTCCAGTATATCTGGCTTGGTTCAGCTGTTCTTCCCCTCATAAATTAACAGGAGCAAGCCCCTTTCATGAGCCCTAGAGCCTGATCCTGGCACATGAGGCCAGGCAGAAATGGCATGGGGCCCCAGAGCCTGATCCCAGCACGTGGGGCTGGGTGGTGGTGGTGGTGCAAGGCTGGGTGTGGGCAGCACGGGGCTTCAAAGCCCAGTCCAGTGTTTGAGGTTGGGCAGAGGCAGCACAGGGCCCTGTGGCCTGATCCTAGTATCTGGGTGGCAGCCAAACCTACGTGGGCCCCGTTCTGGCATGTGGGATCTGATCTGGCATGTGGACCAGCCTTGAACCACTCACCTGGCCCATAATGCCAAGACACTGAACACCACTGGTTTAAAACATTGGACTGGGATGTTTGAGATGGGGTTTTACATCCCAGCTCAGTATGGAAGTACATATGCTCTGGTGATGAGTGTGATATAAGAACCTTACATAGGCTACAAGAATGCTGTTGACTTTTAAAGGCTGTCCAGGCACAGAAATCATCTGCCTGTGTGGAACAACTGGCAAAATCAAGCCTTTTAATTTGTTTTTATGCTTCAGCTTGTCACTTACAAAATGGCGAAGAATCTGGCACAGCCTTTGTCTCAGCTTTTTAGATTGTAAATGCTTCCAACATAGGACTGTTGCTTAGCATGGGCTCTTACTCTCCCTGTGCCACTGGCTGTGCTTCATGGTCTACAGTATACAAGTCAGTTCCCTTCCCAGCCTATCTTTTTTTGTCTATTCAGACTTAGCAGTTTGGGGTAGGGACAGTCTCTCACCACATCACATGCCTGTGCTTTGGCTAGAAAAGTGGGTCCCTGATTTCATTTGGGACTTCTTAATGCTCCTGGAGTGTGAATAATTGATAATGATGAAGAAAGAATATTTGAAAAAAAAAAAACAAGCAGAAGCTGAAAACAAGCAATGGCTTCCCTATGTGCAAGGAATTGACTTAGGAGTTAAATTCTGTTTCCTTTCTTAGGATCAAGATGATGGCTTCAGGAACAGATATGCAAGATTATGCTACTAAAACTGATACTGGGGCTCCTAAACAAGGGGCCCAATTCATCAAAGTACTGAGTCTCGTTGATTTCATTTGGTACTCAGCGCTCTGAAAAGCCATACACTTCCTGTAAAATTTCCAGTGAGTAAGTGCCTGGAGCTTAAAGCAGGGGTTTAGATTCATAAACCATTTACTCGTTCTTGAAAATTTAACCCCGTGTGTCAACTTCAGAGCCTAACTTTAGGCTCCTATTCTTGAAAATCCTGAACTGATGACAGCACCAAATGTATGTGGATCCTACAAAAGTGGAGGGTACAATAAGCAGGGAAACAGGAGTGTAGAATAATTTAGCTCTCTTCAGGGCTAGTAAATGGAGAATGTAGTTTTAATGCAGACAAATGTAAAATGATAAGTCTAGGGGCAATGTACTAAAACTGAGAGTACATATTAAATGGAAAATCCATGTAGCATACTGATCAGGAAAGGTATTTGGGGTTATTGTAGATAAGACCTTCAAGCCATCATCCCAGTATATTGCTGCAGTTAAAAAAATGAAAGCCAGGAGGATGTGAAGCATCAATAGGAGGAGAAAATAGGAATCAAAAGGAGCAATCTTGTTGCACTGCTTTGGCCAAACCTCAAGAATATACTTACTATCTACAGGGATCAAATCATTCAATCTGGGCAGAACTCCTGTATAGCAGAGCCTTGATCCCAGGTCTTTTTCTCATGATGTTTGTAATACAAAAAAAGCTTGAGAGGCTGAGAAGATTTCCACTCAGGAAACAGAGACCTTCACAGTAAAATGGAAGTATTCAAAATGATTAAGAGGGTAGAAAAAGTGCAAGGTGTAAGGAGGGAATTCAGTAGCTAAATCTTAATTCTCCATTAGTTTAAAATGATGTAGCTGTCTGGAAGTCGCTAACAGCTAGGAATACAGCCCCAGAGTCAAGAATTGTTTTCTGTCCCTGCTCTAAACCCCATCTGCATTTTACTATCTCTGCGAATTAAAAGCCAGATCTTCAACTGCTGTAAAATAAGGGATTCAGTTTATAATAGTATTGCTCCTATACCTACCAGCTAATAACTAGTCTACTTCAGTAGACCCTCAGCCGGGTCATGAAGTGCTACAGGGATTTGGGAGCAGTGCTTAAGGGGTTGGGGATGCAGGGGGTGTTTTCCTCAATCCTCCCGGTTTCAGGCTATGGGATGAGGAGGGAGAGGAGGATCAAGGTAGTGAACTGAAGACCAGCGCTGGTGTCATCGGGAAAGGTTTGGCTTCCATGACTACAGTCCACTCTTTGGTGAGAGAGCAGCGAGCTGCTGGGAAGGAACAGCCTCCACCTCTCTCCGCTGGGGAGGAGGCTCTTCTCAGCCAGACTGGCTGACCTGCTCCACTGGGCTTTAAACTAAGCCGGCAGGGGGACTACTGCCACTGCTGGCCTGCTGAGCAACCCTTGCAAAGCCAGCAGACCAAGGCACTTGAGGAAGCCCACCCCTGCCCCAACCCCAGAACAATCTGTAGGCAAGGCAAGGGCCCCCAAGGGAACACTTGCCTGCCTGTACACAAATGCCAGGAGCTTGGGGAATAAACAGGAGGAACTTGTCCTCCTTCTTAACAGAAATAATTATGATGTCATAGGGATAACGGAGACTTGGCGGGACTCCACCATGACTGGGCCACAGGTATAGATGGCTATACCCTGTACAGGAGAGATCGAGTGGATAAAAGGGGCGGTGGTGTAGCTCTCTATGTCAAGGAGAGCTACGCGTCCCTGCAAGCCGACGTTGGCACCCAGGGTGGATAACTGGAGACCCTCTGGGTTAAAGTCCGTGGGGAACACGGCACAGGGGACACAATGATGGGAGTCTATTACAGACCTCCCACCCAGGATCAAGAGCTTGACCAGGAGTTCGCAAGGGAATTGGCTGAGGCCGCATGCTCCCGGTGCATGGTTGTCATGGGAGACTTCAACTACCCAGACATCTCATGGGAAGAGCGCTCGGCCAAATCCGAACAGTCGCAAAGCTTCCTCACGTGCGTGGATGAACTCTATCTGATGCAAGAAGTCTACGGGCCAACAAGAGGTAAAGCGCTGCTTGTCAGGAAAGCTGACT